ATTATTCCAAATTCCATCCCTTCAATTTTTCTTGTCCTTTGAAGCCTGTGGAAGAAGAGAAGAGATTTTAAATTCCATCCCTCTCAGTTTTATTTTAATTCCACCCCTCTCAGTTTCTTGTTGTCCTTCGAAGCCTGTAGAGAAGAGTGGAGAATTGTTCTGATTCCACCCCCTCAAAATTCTTGCCTGTAATTTTTTTTGAAGATGAGAGAGAAGGCACTTCTTCTAATTCCACCTCTCCGAATCTTGTTTTGTTTTTTTGGATTTCGTTTTTTGGATTTCATTCTTCGAAATCAGAGAAGACTCTAGAGATGCCCTCGTCTCACCTTCCAAGCCTTCGAAGCCCCTTTCGTCCTCACCTTCGAAGCCTTCGAAGCCCCCTTCGTCCTCACCCTTCGAAGCCTTTGAAGCCTTCGAAGCCCCCTTTGTCCACCCTTCGAAGCCTTCGAAGCTTTCGTCCTTGCCTTTGGAAGCCTTCGAAGCCCTTTCCTTCGTTCTCGCCTTTCTTCGTCCTTACCTTCGAAGCCTTCGAAGTCCCTTCGTCCTGACCCTTCGAAGCCCCTTCGTCCTGACCCTTCGAAGCCTTCGAAGCCTTTGTTCTCAGGCTCGACGCAAGAATTTAGAAATGAAAAGGGGCGCCCTTCTTGGTTTGACGGGGCGTTTCGAGCAACCGCAAAACCTCAACTCCAAACAAAAGGGAACAAGAGTCGCTGGGTTCTAGCTCAACCCTAAACTCTTGAACCCCAGAGGCAAACCCAAGCAAAGGCCCGCGCATGCCGCCGAACGAGGAGTCTGCAGAACCTGCAACATGGTGCTATATTCTCTGAAGCCCTATCAGGCTGGGCTATTTAGGCCCTAGAACCCCAAAAAGACCGTTTGTAGGGTTGATTACAGCCCCTAAACCCTGAACCCTCTTTCTCCAAAGGGTGGCTTTTAGCTTGTACAAGGTGTGCAAGAAAACTTGCCAAAGCAGGAGAATGGCATAGACGTGTCGAAGGAAGGCATTCTATCCATTCCTACAGCTCTTTGCAGCAAATGTTTGGTTTGCACCGTTTGCGCTTTGGGGGCCAGGTGAATGCTGAAAATCTCCCTGGCCTTCAGTAATGTTGGAGTAGAACTGTGGATGCGCATCTTTCATGTCAATCTCAATAGCGTTAGGTCCAATGGCCAAGAAACGTGTTAGCCTCGTTTGCCAGTGGAGTACCAAATCCCAAGCACAAACTCTAAGCCACAAAGGTGTTTTTGGAGGCCTCGCAAAAAATCTACTCACCCTAAAACCCTAAACTCTAAACTCTAAACCCTAAACCCTGAACCCAAACCCTAAACAGCTCCTTTGGGATAAGCTTTTCTTGACAAGCCATCAAGGCCACGACTGGCAACACGTCTAGCACCAGCAGCGAAGGTGGGTGAAAGCTCAAAATTATTTTCTTGAATCCGCCACTCTGGAACTCTAAACTGCTTTTGCGCTTTTGTGTCGACAATCGTATTTAACCACCCGCGGAACTTGACACGTTATGGCCAGGGCTTGACACCCCAAATTTCCACGTCCCCGTCTGCCAGAGGCAAATCATCTAAGAGTGCGGCTGCTGATTTGGCAAGTCAACAACATGGAGCGCTAGAGTCGCGTTCTGCTGACCCCTTTTCTGAATTTGTCCAGTTGTCTTAAATCTTGTCCTTGGCGGCAAGACTTTAAACATCAGGCGAAACGAGGAAGCGAATGTGGCGAATCTGGGCATCTCTGCTCCAGGGCTCATGGATATGTCACGTGTCGTTCAGCAGGGCCTGCATTTACCCACCCAAGCCACCCAAGCAACGAAGGTCTGTGTTTGGCGGATAAGAGCGAAGGGTTTACAGTTTAGAGAGGGTTTAGGGCCCAGTTTTGGGTTTCGGGTTTCGGGTTTAGGGTTTAGGGTTTAGGGCTTCGGGTTTAGGGTTTAGGGCTTAGGGTTTAGAGTCTAGGGTCTCGGGTTTAGCGGCTACTGCTCCTGCCACTGCTACTGCTATTACTACTACTACTGCTACTCCTACTCCTACTACTACTACTACTACTACTACTACTACTACTACTCCTACTACTACTACTAGTACTACTACTACTACTACTACTACTACTACTACTACTACTACTACTACTACTACTACTACTACTACTACTACTACTACTACGACAACGACCACTACTACTACTACTACTACTACTACTACTACTTCTTCTACTACTACTACTACTACTACTACTGCTACTACTACTACTACTACTACTACTACTACTACTACTACTACTAGTACTACTACTACTACTACTACTACTACTACTACTACTACTACTACTACTACTACTACTAGTACTACTACTACTACGACGACGACGACGACGACTACTACTACTACTACTACTACTACTGCTGCTACCACTACTACCACTACTACTCCTACTACTGCTACTACTACTGCCACTACACTACTACTTCTTCTTCTGCTTCTGCGACTACTGCTATTGCAGCTACTGACTGCTACTCTTCCTACCACCCCTTCCAGAACTACTTCGACGGTTGCTGCCATGACCGCCACGAGACCACCACTCCAACTTTGGGCGGAAACACTCCTACGAACAACAACGGCGGACCACCATTGCATCGTGACGCGGGACAACCACTGGCAACACCACAACCACGACAACCCCACAGCCACTACAAGAACCGCAACCCCTCACCAAAACCCAATCCCACTCACAAAACAACAACCACAAAAAACTCAGTTTCCACAAAAAAAACATTCAACGGTTTGCTTTCAATCCGAGGCATTGACGATAAATAATTGAAAAAATTGAATGATTTTTTTGAAGTTTTTTTTGAAAATGCATTTTTCATTTTTTGCCAAAAAACGAAAAATATGATGCTGGGAACACAAGAAAATGTTAAATTCATGAATTTACAATTCCAGACACACTGTAACACATGAAAATTGCATGCAAAAACTTTTTTCAAAGGGATCGACAAAAGACAAAACCCATGTTTTCTTGTTTGACAAATATTCTGTGCGCAAGAAGCTGAAAACAAGATAAGCCTTGCTAACTTTTTGCAAATAAATCAACCAAACTGATCTGACTGAAAAATAAAAAAAATCAATGTGTCCACAAAACACCATACAAAATTATCACGGCCAACGCTGTTTTTCACACTTTCCAAAATGCAGGTTTCAGCACTTTTCAAGGTTTTTAAGTTTAATTTTCATTGTTTTTAGGTGTCGTTAGGTGGTTGTTCAGCTCTTTCAGTTTTCTCAACCTGAATTTGGTCTCAGAGTCTTTTCAAAGAAATTATATTTTTAGAAAATCGGTTTTTTGTTTTCTAAAACTCCGTAACATGTTGTTTTTGTTTTCTTGTTCCCACGCACTACAAGCCAGAGCTTCGAACAGAGATGGAGTCCCCGCAGTGCAAAGTCTTTCCATGCGAAGCGCTTCCAAGCAGTGCCACTTGCAAGTGTATGGGTTAACACGACAGCTGTTGTACAAACTTACTGTGTAGGGGTCTTCACTGGGTTGTTTTACCACTTCAGGGACACCCGCCGTCTACGTGCGGCCAAGCATCTGAAATACCTTGATCTTGCGTCTTGTGTTTTCCGTTTTGTTGTGTTGTGCATGATCGACCCGCATGTTGGCTTGCAAAGATGCTTTTGCCACTGTGCACGTATGATGTAGGTTTGAAGCGCTGCTGTTGGTGCAGCCATTGCACTTGCTACTAGGTGTGCTCATCATCCGCACTTGTTAACCGGCAGCATAAGACGGACGTATTCCATGCATTCATGGCGATGGCAGCTGTGCCATTCCCGGTGTGACCCTGAGCTTCGCCTCTAGCCCCATGAATCTGAGTCAACCCAATGCTTTTCATGCTTCTGGCAGGCACGGTTCTACACGCCCCCTGCGCTTTCTTCCAATGGACACATGAAGCTCGTGCCACGGATTCTCAGTTGCATGAGAGTCAGTGCCGGACCATGTTTGCAAAATCAAAATCGTCGTTGCCGCGCCTTTGACTGCCCGCACTTTCCAGGCCATTGGTGGCAAATTGGCAGGCAGCGATCAGAGCGCAGTGCTAATGGAATTCTGGGTTGTGGCTACTGCCAGGCCATTCCATCGTCGGTTGGTGGAGTGCAGCGTCAGATCGTGGTCCAGGCTTTTGTGCGTGTTTTTCGTCTGTAGGCAATGCTCCTGTGAGTGAAATGTTTGCGTAGAACTGTTGTCTGTAACTGTTTTGTGTACCAGTTTTTGTGTGTTTTTGCCCCAGGGTGCAGAGTCTTCGATGCAGCCCGCAGCCTCAGCATGCTCGCAGACATTTTGTTCGTCAGAAACTGCGTCGGATATATTTTCTCTGGGGTGCTGGTTGATGCAAGCAATGTAAGCCGACAAGAGATTGAGATGAAACAATATGTTCAATGCAAAAGGCTGCTCTTTGTTTACATCCTCATGAGCGACACAGGTGGCGTCAGGTTCCGTCGACTGCACCGGCAACAGCGCCGAAGGCATCGATTCGATCCCCTGAGTGCGAATGTCATGAATGATGCAGTTGATGGCACTTTGTGCCAGGTGCTTTTCGTGCAGACGTGGAAGCCTTTCTTTGTTGGCTGCAGTTGCACAGCAAAATGCGCCTGCATTCTTCCTTTCCTTCAAGGTCGGGCGATGCAGTTCGCAGTCAAGCCGGATTGTTACAAGAGGTGGGCCACACAGCGCGTGCTATGTAAACGCATGGGTCGGACTGCGTGCAGACTAGCGGTCATGGACTTCGAGAGCCTTCACCAGAGCGAGAGGAAGGCAGCAGTCCATGATGCGAATTGAGTACGGCAAGGCTTCTCATGGGGATATCTTCAGCATTCTTCAGCCGTTTCAGCTGTTTCAGCTGTTCGGCTGAGTTGCATGTTGCAAGCTGCACCACAACCCCGCAACTACCTACCCTTTGCTCACTGCATCGCAAGGCGAAAAGATTGAGGAAGTAGATGAAACATGCGCGATGGCCACGAGCGCTTTGCAGCCGGCAACATTAAAGGCAGTCAAGCCCACAAGTCAAGTGGAAACATCGACAAGTAAAGCAAAGCTAGCACCTTGGATTGTCCAGTTCATCATGGACCATGGACTCAAACCATGTGGCTCTGACATTTGCTTGTGGCCATTTGTGATGTTGAGGATTATGTAGTTGCTGGTGTGGCAAATCTCCGACGAAGTTTGGAGCGCCAAGTTGGCCATGCTCGCGAAGAACGATTAGACTTGTTATTGGAAGAGGCTGGGGCGTCTCTGTAGGACTGCACGGTGTGGTGGCGGCGGCAGTTGCTGTCTCGTGGAGTATTGCAATCATGTCGTAGTAGGGGAAGGGAGAAGTGCATGATCAGGCAAAGAAGCTAGCAGCAGATTTGCAGCCGCTTCGCAGCTGCATTGAGATAGTGTTTCTTTGGAAAAAAGGAACTAGGCCAATGTCAAAGTATGATGACTTGCCAGAGTCTCCTCTCACCTGCGGGATGGTTCGTAAGTTCATAAGGTTCGTTTCCCTGTCCAACGAGTTCAAGTCAAAATGGGATTCGCAGAAGGCAGCCCTGCTGTCTCAAAAGAAAACGGAAATCGACACGCATCTGCAGCGAGAAGACGAGCTTGCACAAGCTGATTTTGCCAAGACAGCAGCTCCTTGGCTTGATCCGCAAATGCGCAAAATGTGCGCAGGGTGTTCGAGGGTATCCGGTATTCGGCACTGGCCGAGCGTCCAGGTCCCTCCTGCATGATTTCCTGGTGCCCGTTGCTTTTGAGAGGTCTGAACCAGCTGACTCCCTTGCCTTGGCAACCCCATTAACCCCATTCACCCCATTCTCTAGCGTCACTTTGCATTCAATGCGCTGCGGGGTTTGGCTTCTGACGATACAGGAACAGGTAGTGGTTTTTGTGGTCCGTGGTGGTTTTTGTGCTGTTGTTTCGGGCTGTGGGGCTTTCTCGAGGAAGCCGAACTGCGCGCCCTCGCCACGGCCGAGGAGCAGCGCGGCGGTGCCGCACGGTCCCAGGACCTGGAGGCGAGCAAAAGGGTTAGACATTTTGAGATGCACAGAAAAAAAGAGGTAGTAGAGGTAGTAGAGATGCAGAGTAGATGATGTAAGCTGAGGAGGTGCAGGTCAGTTGCTGATGTTCGCCGTGTCTCGGGGGTGTTTCAGACTCTCAGAGGTCGAGTGATTCCGAGGTGATCCTTCGCCAAGCTGTGGAAAGTTGGCGCGGAGAGGCAGGGCCAGTGCCAATGAGGAGTGCTTCAATACGTTCTTGTCACAATGGAATCCAGGTTCATGGTGCAAGCCTGGTCAACCAAACAGACGTGGACAAAGCCGTGCGCGCTTGTCTGGCACGTGTGGTGGCCTGGACATCAACGCAGGAGCAGCGGATGGTCGCCAGTTGGAAGGAGACAGTCCGGCAATTGGTCCTGGAAGTTCACAAGGTGGACATGAGCAGCTTCCAAGCACTTGAAGACACGCTGTCTGCACGTCGGGCCATTGTGGATGATCTTCTTGCACGCCAGCGACGGGAGCTGACAACTGCATACAGACAGATGCAGGATAACCTGGCCCACAAGACGCGTGAGATGCTGCAGTCCGATCGTGAAGTGCAGCGAAAGCGAGACAGAAAAGCAGATCGCAGGCTCCTCCTGAAGGAAGCCCAGCTGGCAGCCCGAAGTCGGGTCGAGATTGCAAAAAGTGAGTCTCTGAAAGCTTTGGATGCTCACACGCAGGTTTCCTGCTCGAAAGTGGATCGCTGGGCTTCTCTGTTCCTGCTGAAGAAGTCCCTTCTACAAGAAGCAATGGGCGATCTTGGGCCGATGCTGGCCTCAAACTTGGATGGCGAGCTGCGAACTACCGTGGCTCAGATTCGACAGCGGCAGAACCAAAGTGTTGGCCGCGATGCTGTCGAAGAGCCAAGCCAGTTTCGAGGCTGCCCGAAAGAATGACCCATATGACCCCCAAATCTCAAGTTTACAGTTCCTGGCAGTTCCTGGTGTCCACTCCATCTTGTTTGCGGGAGGCTCGCAGTCCCCGCCCTGGCCTCAGCTACTGGTGTGCTGCTCGTATGAAGTGCTACAAGAGCTTTGCTCTGCACTCTGCACATCTCTGCATTGCACTGCTATACACTGCTCGGTCAGATGCTGTTAGCAGGGCAAAAGAATGTGGTGGAGATAGTGACCACAGCCCCGACGGAGCACAGCTGGAGACGGCCATGCGGCGGAGTCGCCTCCTGGCAAAAGCACAAAAAGTCGCACCAAGTCGCAAGCGCGCACTCGCCTCCGCGGTTGCCACGCTTGTCATGCGCTTGCCCGCATCTTTTCATGAGCGATTGCTCATATGCCGCCCTGTGCCAGGAATGACCCACGAGCTGACGGATCTGAAAGATGAAGTTCAGGCAATGCTGGCGGCCTCAAAAGATCGGAAGTCCTGGCGGAAGGACATCGACGAGGCGACGGCGAAGGGCCTCAGCCTCCTCCAAGATGCCAAAGCTGCCTTGGAGGTGCAGTCGCAGATCTTCCAAAAGGCAGATGGAAGTCAAGCTGATGACAAGTGGCTGAAGGAAACGGTGACTGGACTCTCAAATTGCACCCAGAGCTTCCACGCGGATCTGTTGCCAAAGTTCGAGGATGTAGCCAACTCCAAGTTAACACACAGCAAGAAGCGCCGGGAGTATCTCGGCCAGCCTGTTCGGAACCTCGAGCAGAGCTTGCTCGTGGCGGAGGGTGACATCTTGAAGTCGATCACCAAGCTGGCGGCTGAGGTGGAGGTCCGGGCTTTTTGAATGTTCAGGTCCAAAAAAACTTAATCTTTTGCTTTATGGAAGTTGCTTCAACTGATTTCAACTGTTCGGATTGTTCAGGCCATGTCAGAGCTCGGACGGGCCGTGAGGTCGTCTGTGGCTCCCCTGGTTCCAGTGACAAACTCTTGGCGAAGGGCGGTCTCTTCTGCGTTTCTTGGCCGGAAGGGAAGCTGACTTGTCCTGCAGCCCTCCTTGAGCAGCTGAGGCTGAACATTGTGCAAAGGCTCTGGCAGCTTGGAAAGACCAGTCCAGAGGAACGGAAAGACTTCTTTGCTCGGTTGCTGGCCGTCTTGGAGAGGGCACCCCTCGCAGCAGACGCTCTCGCGGAACAAATGATCTGACGCTGATTTGCTGATTTGTCCACAGATCGTCGGGGCATGTCTGAGACACAGAACCTTTCTGAGATTCACACACCACCACACACAAGCGAAACATGCCGGTACCCTCGGATGCCAACGTGATACTATGTTGCTTGCGGCAGGCTTTCGAAAACGCAGAGGAGAGGGGAGGCCAGTTAGAGCATGTTCTGAAGAATTTTGAAGATTTTAGAAGACTTCCAGGTGATGGAGCGATGGATAGTGGAAGTGTGTGCAGGTCGAGCGGAGGTGGTCCGTCCTCCCTCAACTTCTCCACTGCCTCCACAGTCTCCACATCCTCGAAGGCTGGCGCGTGAATCCTCAGTCAGAGTGAAAGTTTGTAAATGCGTGAGGCCCGGGCCCCCAAGTCCTCGGCAGCGCCAAAGGACCGCGCTCCCGGCGTGCGTTGCCCATTTTTTGTCCGATTCTTGTCTTTCTTGTTCTTGTTTGTTGTTTGTTTCTGGTAGTTCTTCTTTCTCGAGCAGGTGGAACCACAGCTTCACGGAACTCGCCCCGTGGTCCTGCTCTTACCGCAAAGAAGAAACGTTCTCCCAGCACTGCAAGCCCGACTGGTCGAGGGTTGCCACAGTGCAGGCCCAGGTTTGGGCCCGCGACGCACAAGTGCGTGTGCGTCTCCCCGAAGAGACAAGGCAGCAGCCCTTCTTTCTCCAGCGTTTGATCATGCTTCGGGCCCTTTTCGTTCGTGAGCGCTTTTGTCAGGCCAAGGAAGCCCCGAAGGAGTGCTTCTCACCTGCTTGGCCCGTGGCGGCCACAACATCGTTCAGACAAAATCAGCCTTGTTCTAGATTTCATGGCCTTAACCACAAAGTGCACTCGGAACGAGAGATCCTGAGGCAGAGTCCCTTGCAAAGGAAGAGGTGCCCCGTGCAAGAATCTTGCAAGGGTCACGCGACGCACGTGCGCAGCAGCAATCTCGGTCGGAGGCCGCAGCCTGCAGATCGGGGGCGAGCCCTCGGGGCGATGGAGGCCGCCGGACTGTGCTGAAATGCTGTGAAATGCTGTGAAAAGCTGTCGAGCAATGTGTTGAGATAGGTGCCTATCGTGCAGAGTCTCCCCATGACTGTGGCGTCCTGATGCGGAGTGCACGCAGAGAGGTCGATTCATTCAAATCCCGGCAACTCCCCTGGCCAAGGCATTGCGAGTGCTCGCAGCAGATCTCCGGAGATGGACGGCGTGATGCGTAGATCTGGTGCAGGCAACATTCTGCGTGTGTCTGCATGTCTCCCCCCCGGCCCGAGCATGCAGGCAGATCCTCCGGCGTGGAGCCCAGCTTATGCGAGGAGACTCATATCATTTTCCGTTGTGCCAGCTCGTCATGCTGTCAGATCTCTCGATACATCTCGAAGCTTAAAAAGGTGGTGGCCCATCCTCAATCTGCTTTGGAGATGCTTCCTCAGTCCTCAGCTTCGGTTCCAAAGCGGATGGCTTCGCACGATCAGAGTCTGCAGATGTCTGCAGTGAGGACACGCCGAAAGCTCCTCCTCTACGTATTCCGCAGAGGGTATCTTGACTTTCCGGTCGCTTTGTGCTTTTGCTGACTGACTTAACACTTATGCTCTCAGGCTTTCTCCGCTGATGGACCGATGCAGGCATCGCGGGACCCCGGTTCCGTGGACTTGTTTATGGAAGTAACTTGACAAGTTCAAGGCGGCAGGTACACTTGTATGTTTGCTAGAAGGGTTGTCTGTTCATCTTGGGAATATTTTTCTCGGTCACATCCTTTTTGCCTTCTCTCTCTCTCTCTCTCTCTCTCTCTCTTTTCAGCGACCAGTGGCACAGCGAATGTGCAGCAAGCCGTTTGAGTGCCTGCACCAAGGTTGGAAGGAGCCTCGCCGACGTCAATCCGACTTGAGTGTGAAAAGCCTCTCGACATACTGCCCAGAGGTCCTTGCTCATGTTCCCCATTTGCCGCTCCATAGTGCCTTCGGCAATGCTCCCAGAACGTGAGTTGCGGGGCCGGTTGCAGGACACGCCATGTGTAGCAGTGAGCGCAGTGGACGCAGGGGAGGCAGGGACAGCGGGACCATCTGTCGACCTCACTTTCCAGTATCCAGAGTTTCGTTTTGTGTCTGAAACTTTGACACTCGAGAAACTCTTTTGACTGCAGCATTCGCAGGATCGAGGCTTGGGTTATGATGATCTTTTTGCCGAGAACAGGCAGTCTGCTGAGAGGGGAAGAGGGAAGATGGGAGGGAGAGTTGCGCAGCGCCCTTCGCCAGAGGCTTCTTCGTGCTGAGAATGCCCGACTTCGCTCAGAGCTGGAGAAGTGCCCATGACCGGAAGATATGGCCACGCATAATGGCATAATGCCAGCAGGTGTAGCATTGCGGCCGCCTTTGCCGGATCGACGTCAATCTTCTTGGCATTTTCAGGCTAGTGCGGCTGCCCTTGCTTTTTTGCCAGTCTCCGGTTGCCATGGCCTGGACTCTCCACATTGTGGGTTGAGCCATGGCTTGTGGGCATCGTTCTGTTGCTGCGTGTCCCGAGCTGGATGCCCAAGCTCTTCAGAGGGTGGGGGCCGACAAGCCCGAACAAGAGGATGCAGGAACACCTGTCCAAAAGCAGAAGCAGCCTGCGCACCTCAACAGCGCCTCGCTTCCAGTCGATTATCTACATTGTGCATGCATTCTAAAGTCTACGTGCAAGGTTCGTAGTCACAGTCGTGTGCTGCGGCCTCAGGATGGGTTCCGCTGTCTCTGATCGCCTTGTCGGCGCTGGGCTTCTCGATCCAGGCTCTCCTCGTCAGGGAACTGACCCTCCAGGGCCTGGAGACCTTCCAGATCGTTGAGGTGAGGGTTCAGGTTTTCGATTTCTTTTCTTAACAAAAAGGGCGGGCGGATGGTGGGCTGTAGCTGGGCTGCAACTTGGCTGGAACTCTCCCTCGAAACAAGGTGAGAGGCTGCTGCCAGGCCCTGGGATGCTGTGCGGTGCTCTTGGTGAAGAAGCATCCCATCTCGGCTTGGCTCGGTGTGTCGGCGCAGGAAAGAAAGGCACTGACTCTGAGAGCAGTCGTGGGCTATGGCGGTGTAGCCTTCGGCTTCTTGGCGGTTTCTCTTCTGCCGCTGGCCGACTCACAGATTGTGTCGCAAACGGCGCCCATCTTCTCGGCGGCATTTGCTCGGATCTTCCTGGGAGAAGAATGGCACCTCTCGGAATTCTTTAGCGCGCTGACTGGCATCATAGGAGTCATCTTCATCTCGAAGCCAGAAGCCTTGTCGCTGGGCTTGGTTGGTTGCACATGTGCACAGTCCCTGTCTATCCGGTAGCTCAGATTTGGTCAAGCCACCTCTGATGGTCACCATCTCTTGGGCGTTGCGTTCGGCCTCCTCAGTGCGCTGTGCGGTGGAGGCCGATTCGGCCGATGGCCTCATGGACTCGATTCAAGACCATGCCGGTCTCGTAGTCGGTTAGTCCCAGTCACATGTTGTCACTTGTTGTCGCATGTTGTCGCATGTTGTCGCATGTTGTTGCATGTTGCCACTAGTGTCCAGGTGCCTATGTAATCATCCGGTTCTTGGGTACCACCGTCAAGGCCAGGTGCTGTGCCGGGCCCGGTAATGTGTGCCTGACGCTGTCCTGGCTGTCTCCTGGTGGTGTCCTGTTGCCCTGACGTGGCCTTGCAGGTCGATTGGACTTCGGTACTCTTGGTGCAGGCATTGGGACAGGTGACGTTTTCGCCCGTCGGTCTCGTCGCATCGGGGCAGCATGTCAGGACGGAAGTGGAGTGAGCATGTGCCGACAATGAGAGTTCAAAATCTCGTGGTTTGTCGAAGTTTTGTGCGGGGTTTTATAGAGGATGTTCAGCTTGATGCAGCTGTTGCTGACCTTCACGATTGGCTTCGTCGGCTTCAGCTCCCAATGTGTCATGACAATCGGGATGCAGAAGGACGCATCGGCTGCAAAGGGCCTGAGAGACGTTTGCTGCCACACATTGCGTCCCCAAATGGAAAGACCGGTCACACAAGTTTCTCGCAAGGAGAAGTCAGCCACTGCCTCTCTGGTTCGACAGAGCCTCTGCCCAGTCTTCGCGCTTCTCTGGCAGGGCCTCTTCTTCCCAGACGAAAGCTTATCGTGGACGAGCTTTGCAGGCAACGAAGAAATCAGCTGACCTGGATTGACTATGATTGACTTGGTGTCTAGAAGCTTGTCCGCATCACCGCCCTGCAAGAGGCTTTTGCACCATCTTGCTGGGCCTGGCAGTGGCTTGGATGAAGGCTGCAGCTGTTGCAGCTGTAAGCTCACCAGGCTTCTAGATCTGACCACTGTGGCGATGTGCTCCAGCTAAGGTTACAGTGGTCTTCAAAGCTTTCAGAGAGAGCTCTCACAAGCCCAAGCTGTACTATTCGCACGTGCAATCAGAGGAGAAGCCAGAGACGCAAGACATGCAAGAGGCCTGAGAATTAAAAAGAGCGGCATTTTGCAGCGAACCTTTCGATGTCTCTCAATGCTGGCTGCAAAGGATGGTACTCCCTCAAAATTGGATCACACCCAGTGCTTGCCGTCTTTGGCACGCGATTCACGCGATCCTGCTCTGAATGTCCTGGGGAAAAGGCCAGGCTTGTGACCTGCCTGTGCCCTGCCCGTTGCTTGCTTTTTTGTGTTTTTTCTCTCTTCCTCGTCGTTGATGGCAAGCGGCAAGGAGCTTCTTTGATGAGGCGTGCTTACCTTAGCTTCTTCTAAAGATCTGTAGCCTCCAATCGTCTGCAGCGATGCTTGGACGCTAAGACCTGGGGTGGATCGCGAAAATGAGATGATCGAATTGCTTCAGAAGGAAGGCTTCAGTACCGGGACCTAGTTGGCAAGCTTGTCCCTTTCGACGAGATTTTTACTTGTGCGGCAGTTCGGGTTCGGAAGATGGTTTTGCAAGGCAGAAGACAGGCGGTTCTTGCGCTGGAGGAGGTGGGCTGGTCCAGCCCGAAGGACTGCCCGGAGAGTGGTGACTTCCTTCGATTTCGCCATGTTAAGTCCACTCGAAATTCCTAGCCCTTCGCATGCTTTGTCGCGAAGCCATGGCCGCAAGTTGCGCTAGCTGACAAGCTTTTGCAAGTAGTATGATCGTGCTGCCGTGTGCATGCGAGTTGGCCTGTCAAAGACTAGGCCGCGCTGGACATTCTTTTGGACTGCAAATACGGTGATGCTGCCTTGCAGCGCAGTGGCGACACTGTCGAGGATCGTTGAATGCACGATGAGACAAGATGGCAATGGACAGCTTGTGAGCTGAAGCGTTCCGACAAAACTTGCTCCTAGCAAAGCTTGCAACATCTTGCAACTAGCTGCGATTGGGCCGAAGAGCCAGGCCGCATCTGTCATCTGTGAGCAGCGAGCTTCGCAGGCGGCTGGCTCCTACGAATGCCTCGCGGGTTGTCCGGTGGTTCCAATGGTTACTCGTGGGCCTCGTGCCAGACCACTCATATTTGGAGATTTTGGAGCATGTCGACAGTGGTCGGCGCCGGTCATGACACACTCCTCGTGTACGAGATGAGTCTGGGAAGAAGAAGCGACAAGCCGGCGATGGAGAAACTCTACGAGTTGCCCGTGATGTCGTCGAGGAAGCTCAGGAGCTCAGCTTGATGTGGCTGAAGGCGTGTGAAGATAGAGACCTACTGGAAGCGTCTCGGGCAAAAGTGTCAATCTAACAGCATGCTGCTGGTCGCTTAGTTCGCTGCCTCCCAGCAACACGCCTGCTTGCCTTGCGACCTCCATACAGACTCCGAATGTCTACTTCAATTACTCAGGAGGCTGATGCTGCATGCTTCACCTTTATGGTTAGTTAGTCTTTGAGGTTGGATCCCCGGGATGTGACGCCCCGTACGTACCCATGAACCTGTAATTGATGCTTCCATGTTAGTCCCGCGAGATTCTCGGAAGTCCGTTTTGCACATTGCAGACGATACTCGTAGCAACAGTCAGCCTGCATAGAAATTGAACTGCCTGCACGTGCAAACCGCCTCAAACCCCTTTCCACTATGTTTAGCCACGGGGCCTCGCCCAGCAGATATCTGCATTTCAGTCACTTGATCAGGTGTGGGATCATACGCATGCACGCTGCTTCCAGATCGGATGCGTGCCGTGATTCAGGTACCAAATCTGGTATGACCAGCTCACAGCTAGCTACTACCACGGCAACGGCTACTTGAAGAAGTAGCCTGTTGCTTGTCATGTGACGTGTCGTTTCCAGTAGATACACACCCAGAGATAACCTTACAGTCATCGTTCCCCAAGCCAGAAATCCTTTCTTCGCCGAAATTTGGCGGGAAGGATTCGCCACGTGTGTGCAAACAATTCGACCTAGTTGGCAGAGACCCCAGACCTGCGAAGACGTCCCGTCCTGCACCTTCCTAGAGTATCGTTGTTTGTCACTATTTGTCGGTGGAGGAACAGAAGGACGACGCTTGGAGCAGTTGGAGGATTCTGATTGCAAATGCTTCAGTAGCTGCTCGGCTTGGTGTCGAGGCCCCCTGAATGTAAACCGAAACATTCTTGATTGTCAGTCCTGCTCCACTTCGGCATCATGACCCGACACCTTGCTTGGCCTCTTACGCACAAGTCTGTACCGCGAAAAGAAAAAGTCTATCAGTAGAGAGGAGCAACGCGTAGACCCTGGGATGCTCATTTGATGGTGCAATCTCTCCGGTGCTTTCTTTTGGCTTGTTTTGGCTCTGCCCAGCTGCTTTGGGGCCTTGGGGGCCAGCTGCAGGCAGGTGTGAATCTGCTGATGGTGTCACTATGTGTCGCTGCCTGCTAGTGATCCTGCTTCGCGCAGGTGTGGTCACTCTGGTGGAGTGATCAGCAGCTGCTTGGTAAGGGAAATGCTAAGCAACAATATATCCAAGTACACGCCGGAAGTGCATTTGGTGTATTCATGTGTATTCGGTGTTAAGCTTTTCGGTGTATGGTGTCATGCAAAGGACAGAGCACCGCCTCTGCTGTTGCAAGAATGCGGACAGTACGACAGATCTACAGCACCAGACAAAACCAAACATAACTAGTGACGGGTAGCAGCGGTTGTTGTGGCGGAGGGAGGCCCGCGACTTCAGCCGCATGCCCGGCCTCGCCGGCTTGGCAGAGCCGAGGCGCTTTTGGGTGCTTTTCGTGTTGCCCTGGAGTCAGGGAATCATCACGTCTTGCATCTCAAGATGGTCTCGCCGTGTTCTTCATCGCTAGGCTCGACCGGGCCTTCCGCGGGCACCGCGCGCCTGTGACCTCTGTGGTGTTCCATCCAGATGAGCAACAGGTGCCATATGGCGCCATCGTGTCTCACATGGCGCCATCACGGTGATGAGTTTATCTTTGGTGGGGTCGTGGGTAGGCCATTTCCGGAGCTCATGACGGCTGCCTCTTTGCTCCATCCTTACCAGTTCCATGAGGGGAATTGCCCTGAGTCTGAGATGCCAACTCGCAGAGGTCTGGCACTTCAAGCCTCAACTTCGACCTTTCCGCTTCGTGGGTCGAATGCTCAATGCCTTATGCTGTAAATGCGCTCGATGCCGTGACACACAGCCCGAACGAATATTCTTGGCTAAAACCTTCTGAGGCCACAAAGGCGAGGTGCATGACCTCGCCATCAGCCGCTCCGATCCTTGGATCCAAACATTTTTCCTTTGGCAATTGCAATACATTGCGATGTCTTCTGTGAAGCAGTCGGTACGTGTACGTAATTGTAAGTGTGTACAAGCCGGAGTGGACATGTCAAAAACGGGCTCAGGGGCAGTGCATTGCGTCAGCCTCTGCAGATCAGACGGCAGCTGGACAGCATTCAGGGGCACTCGGAAGATGCAGAGATTTGCAGAGTGCACCCCGATGATCCGCGGATGTGAGTGTCAGGTTCGGCTGTGGACCAACTCGGCCCAGGGCGACTCCAAGGTCATGAAGGCCCCACCCCAATGCCTGTCAGAGTGGCACTTTCAGCCATTCTTTCCACACAACACCCCCACTTTTCGGGGGCGAAGATGCGTTGGAGGTCCACACGGCGCCTGTGCGAAGCGTCTGCTTCTCAAGAGACGATTCGACTCTGCTCACTGCATCAGATGACAAGACCATCAAGCTGTCAGCTGCTCAGCTTAGCTCTCAGGTCTGAGTCCTTTGGAAGTCTCTCCCTGTCTTTCACTATGCAGGTGGTCTGTGGCCTCCCAACGGTTTCATGCCTCCTTGTTGGGACACACGAATTGGGTGACTTGCCTGTAAATGTTACTTGCCACTCTGCTTGGAAGCTTGCTGCCTACCAAGAAGCGTTGCAATTTTCCTTCTGCCAGAGGTGTACTCCGCGCACTTCTCCAAGAACTCAGAACTTGTCGCTTCTGGTGGCGAGGAGATGCTCTTAGGGTTTTGTTTTCTAGAGCTGCTGTATGCGGTCAGACGCAGTTCTGAAGGTTTAAGGTTCAGGTTTCGGGGCCTGTAGCTTGGATCGCTGTGCCTGAGTTACATCTTACTTCCCGGCTAGGATCGAATTGTGCGAGTTTGGGACGTGGACAAGAAGGCCATGGACCGCAACCCCCTGTTCAGAAGTCGTGTTTGTTTGCTTTGGGCACAACTGCTTCGCGAGGCCACACTCATGACCTTTCCAGACTTCGAAGTTCCGGTGGCCAAGGTCAGGTTCCATCCTGATGGGTTGGGACCCTGGTCTCCCAGTTACACGCCCTGTGGACATGCATGGACACATATGGACACTAAGTGGCAGTCGACAGGTCTTGTATCGCAGCATGCGGCCACGATGGCTGCATCAAGCTCTGGGACTTGCGCTCGCTGGGTGCTCGGCTGCTTCGGAGCTGTCTCGTGTGTCAATCGATCTTCACGATGACCGCGCCGAGAGCTGGGAAGCTGTTTAAAAGATTTGAAGGCGCAGGCTGCTCCAGCATTATGATGCCCATGTCGGTGAGGACCTTGGCACAGCCACGCAACGATCCGTGTCTGCGTTGTTGTCACTTTTAAGCCCCCAGTTGAACAAGTTGAACAAGTCGAACGAAATTTGAAGTCAGAGGCCGAATCTCCGCCATTGACTTCCACCCGCTTGGTGAGCAGCTTGCATCGACCGGAGAGGAGCTGCAGAACTTGCATCACTTTTGCATATTTTGCATCACATCACTGTGCTTCAAAGCCTTTTTTGGAGCCTGTGGGGTCTTTGGGCAGGACGGAGCCCTGAAAATTTGGGATCTGCGCGAAGGCAGGCTGATGCACAAGGCTTGGACTGCGGCGTTGCAGGATTCCAGTGCAGGTGGTCGTTGCAAATACTCGGTCTTGCGCAGGTCATTGGGCAGGGCCACAAGAAGGCTCCAATGGCTTGTGTGTGACCCTCATTTGTAGCCTTGGAGCAAAGCGCTGGCTGTAAACACAACACGTCGACTCAGTTGAAAGAGTTCAGGCGTGGGAGTCCCAAAACTTTTGTTAAGAGCTTGATTGGGGGTTTTTAGGGTCTGCACTGTGTGCTTCGGGAGTTTTGGGTTCGGGCTGTACTGCTACAGACAGGGTCCTTTTAGGTTTTCAGCTCTGTTTTTGGCTTGCCCTTTGTGCTGCTCCAAGGCTTTCTCGCCATCGGGAGAGAGCAGCTGGCTCAGATGGCAACTTGAAACCGCATTGCTGCATTGCTCACTCGGGTCTGTCTCCGAAAGACGTACAGGTCTTGCGACAGCCGGTCAAGATGGCTTGGCGCGCCTGGCTTGTGCTTGGCTTGTGCTTGGGGCTTGTGCTTGGGGCTTGTGCTTGGGGCTTGTGACTTGTGCTTGGGGCTTGTGCCGGCTCGTGCTTGGCTCGTGCTTGGCTTGTGCTAGGTCCTGACTTGGAACTGCTCGCATGCACCGGCGCCAGCACCGGCGCCGGGCGCGGCGGTGGCACCAGTGCCGAGTCCTGCTCGGCGCCACCCGGTGCAGACTCCCGAGAGGGCGCAGGTGAGGGCGCCCTCGGAGGGCCGTGCCCGCGAGCTTCGGGAGCTCCGGGAGCTCCGCGAGGTCCGGGAGCTCAAGACTCCCAAAGAGACCTTCCCCAAAGAAGCCTTCAAAGAGGTGCCCAAAGAGGCCCCCGGCGACCAGCTTCCAGCTGCGGCCGTGCCTTGTGGCACACAAGAGATCCCCGTGCCGCTGGCAGAGACCTTGAAGACAATGCAGCCTGGCCGCCTCATGTTTTCGGGATGCTTTAGGTGAATGTGGACCAATTGAACAAGATGATAGATCGAGACAATTTGAGACAAATCTTTAAGACACGGCAGGCAGAGCCACTTGGAGATCATGATGCGCACCGTGCAGCTGCTAGCTCGAGTCTTAGTGCTTCAGCTCCGTCGAGCTGATGTGGTGCTGATTGCAGTATGAGATAGTATGAGGACCAGCGCCTGGCACTGAACGAGCAGCAGGCACAGGGCAAGTTCTTCCATCTTTGCACCACTTCGCGAATGAGCCGAGCTTGGGGCATCGACGAAGCCAAATGCTGCCAGTTGGTATCGGGCTGGTGTCAAGCTGTTGGACGAAGCAGGTGACTGCAATGCGCTCCGAGCTGCCAGAAGCCGAGCTGAAGCTTCCACAGCGCAGAGTCACTGAACGTACTAACATGCAGTCACTCTCAGGTTGCAGCAGCAGGCAACACTCCGGGTCGAGGAGACCTCTGCGGAGCCACGAACTTCACAGACAGCACAGGCAGTGTGCCTTGACAAGGCAGCCCTGACTCCTCCAAGCATCTCAAATTTCAAAGCCTTAAACCATTGGTTTGCGCTGATGTGTGCATGTGTCATCTTGCCTGGTTCGCTGGCATAGTTTCCGTCTGTGCAGGAAGATGAGCTTCTGCTGCCCACAGCACCCGAGGAGGTCAGATACCATTCGCCACACGTCTCCGTGCTGCAGCGAGTGGCTACTGTACTTTACTATCTGGCCGAGTCAGGAGCTGCGGCATGAACTGCAGCAACTGCGGCAGCTGCTTTGAGGGGAGGACAAAGCAGGAAAAGGTGTCGTATGGGCGGTGTCAGCTGTGCCTGCAGCTGGGTGGTTGTCGCAGAAAAGGAAAAAGTGGGAAAGGAGCCATGGCTTCAGCCATTTCGGCTGTAGAAGGGTTGGGGTGGGGTAGCTGGGACTGACAATGGACTTCAAGGAGGCCGAATACCACAACTTTCAAGAAGGCGCCATTTTTCTGGTGTCTGCCATTGTTAGCCAGGGCGATTGGCATTGCAGCCAGTGCGGCGACCACCAGATCGGGCCTCGGGTGAGAACAACCCCCTGAGGCATCTGACTCGGAGGAGCTGCGAGTGTGAGCCTCGTGAGCTTTCTGAGGTTCGCGCGCAACGCGACATGCCGCAAGTGCGGCGCGCCACGCGATGCCCCAGCCTCATCGTTGGCAGAGCTGTGGTCGGCTCGCCGCGGCCAGCACTAAGCACTAGCATGAGTGCCGTTTGCCCATCTTGCAACCACAGGGTGGTGGAAGAGGCGGCAGAATGATGCAAGCGGTGCCGCCGCCTGCAGCTCCCAACTTGGCTTTTTTGACCCATCCACAGTGGATGATGCTGGTGATGATGATGATGATGATGACCACACATGGACGCAATACGTGGAAGAGCATTCGATTCAACAGATTCTGGCCAAGCAGCCTCCGGTTACTCCCCCAAAAATTAGCAGTAATTAGCATCTTGCCTGTGTCGTTAGAAACTAAGAGGCTCGTGGGGGATGTGGGGGCGACTACAAGCAGGGTGACTGGACCTGCCTGGATCCTAGCAGGAAGCGGCACACCGAAAAACAGCTGAACATGAAAAGGCAGGTGGTCAATGTGACTTGTTGTCTCGTGCTAGGCTCGGACTGTGGCGACCACCAGCAGCTTGCTTTCAAATGTGACCAACGTTGCCGGATTAACTAACGACAGAGAGAGAGAGAGCTTTGGAAAATCTGATGAGCATGCGCTGGAGGCATCACTGTGAGTTGCTTGCACTTAGGTCACTAGGTGATGTCCAGTTTGACTTGATCTTCGTGGCAGCGCGTGACTCTTGTCAGGTTTGCCCGCAATGCCTCCTGCAGGAAGTGCGGCGCACCACGTCCAGCCGCTTGACACAGTTCTAGCAGTGATGCCACGGGTTTGCTCATGTTAGCTGGCTCTGGCTTCCTCTGATGGTGACTCACCACCACAGTGCGTCAGGATGCAGGTGGCTTCGGTGGTATGGCTGGGTTGGGTGGCATGCCCGCGATCGGCCAGAGCCAGGGATACAAGGACATTGGCTCAGATGCTTCGAGGTGTGCATTGCCAGCTGATTTACCATTTATTTGCAGAGGCTGGCGGGATCGTGGGTCTTGCAGATGTTCCTGGGGCAGCGGGCATTCACCCTCAATACCTGGAGCAAGCGGCTAACATGCTGGCCGACTGCTCAGAGTCGCCATTCAGCATTGCGTTCTGTTTTGTGAGATGCGCCACAAGTCGCATGTGCCCAGGGCGTATCGATTTCTCCTCGTGGCTCTGTTGCCTCCTCGCTTCCTGGCGGAGCAGCCCTCGGTGCAGGCCCTTCTTCACCGTAAAGGACTTATAATCAGCAACTTGCGAAGCTGTGGCGTGGCTCGTGGCTTGTGTTCAGGGTTTAAGCCGGGCGACTGGAACTGCCGACGGCTGAGCATGTGCCGAGCATGTGCTGAGCATGTGCTGAGCGATCTTGCAAGCACCTCTGAGGTCCAAGCTGCGCCAGCCTCGGCTCAGCCTCTGCAAAGAGTACTCGGACTATCCACAGAAAATCGACATCTCACTCTATAGATTTTTGTCAAGAACTTTGGGGATTGTTTCGAGCGATCATCAGAGTACCCCAGGCGGTGACCATCAGTTCGGGTCTGGGGCTCGGCAAGGGCCTGACAGCTCGTCTGAATTGTTTCAAAACTATTGAGATGGAAGGCGGAACGAAACTTGCCGCAAGTGTGGAACTCCAAAGCCCGGGACTTGACGGAAAATCTGTTTCCTCTTCCCACGAGTTTCAGTAGAAAGGGACCGGAGTTGTTTGGATTTATCTGTTCTGCTCGAGGCCTGGAGATGTTAGTCGGGCGCTCAATGAGACTTGGTCATTGGGGCTTGTTCACGGCGCCTCCACTCTTAGTGGCTCTTGTTGACAACTTGTTGAAGGGCTGCTCGTCTGACTTTATCATGTGTGCCTTAGGTGCATCACAGCACCTAGCAGCTTTGTCGCAGAGTGTGGAAGACTCAGCTGGGACAGTGTTGAAGGCATTTCAAGGCCCATGCATTCCCACGACATTGCGAGGGTTTGTCTCTGAAGGCTCCGCTGGGAGGCAGAGATAACAGCCAGGACTTCAAGGCAAGACACCCGAGAAACAAATACATAAGCCACAGAGATTCAGAAGCGTGTGAGTCAAGATAAGATATCCATTTGTTTGCCGGTTGAATTGAATCAGTGACCAACCCTCACGATCTGGTATCATCTTCAGCCTGGCGATTGGAAGTGTCCTCGCTGCGGTGATCACCAGCCTTGGCCTTACTGGACACGCCGACAAACATCGGGGCAAATCCATCACTGTGCCAAGTCGAACGTAAGCCAGGATTGCAAGTGCATCAGTCTTTTTCAAGGTTCGAGCGCAACGCTGCTTGTCGAAAGTGCGGGCGCCAGACTACTTGAATCCCTTGACAAACATGGAGGGCAGATCGCAAAAATTGCAAGCGCTGCTTAAGCGGCAAACTTGACAGGATGTCAACAGTGCGACTAGGTTAAACAATTTATAGCTTGATCGCACCGAAGAGGTGTGGTGAGCCCAAACCGGCGCAGTCTGGGGGTGGAAGCCTTGGAATCTTTCCGGAGCGCTGCGGAGCGGTGAGTTCATGCGTTCTGTGGTTTTCTCTCGGTGTCATTCCTCAAACGGTGCTTTCCATCAACTCTGAGGTGCACCGCAAGTCTATGGCATTGCCGGATCGCTGCTGGTGGATCTCCTGGTGTACAAAGTTGTACGAACGGTCAAGCCTTAAGTGTGTGCAATCTGCGTTCGCTGAAGGCTGACATTCAAGCCCGTGCCGTTGCCGGTGGGCCTCCAATGAGTGGCGGCTGGAAGCACAGGGTCTTTGGATGTCTGTGTGTCTGTGTGACTGTGTGTTCTTAGAGTCTTCAGATATCCTCAGGATTGAGTTCTTGTGCTTTCATCCCTTGCCACATCAGAGATGAAAAGAGCACCTTAGGTTTCAAGCCTGGCGACTGGACTTGTCTGGACCTCGACACTATGGAGCGACTCAGCGAAGGTGACTTTGTCTATCCTATGGAGCGGAGCTGAGGTGCAGCGTGTACTCGCCTTATCGGAAGTGTTAGAAGGAGACTTCCCATATCTCGACGCGTTGTCCAACCTTGGACTCTAACTGATGCACATTGATGCCTTTTCTGCAAAGCCCTACAGTCTCTTATAGTCTCTTGAGAGTTTTCAAGCCACAAGAGTGGAACAAGGTGGCGACCACCAGCTCGGGTGCCCAAGCGCTTGATGAGAGCTTTGAAGTCAGGCACGCGTCTCAAAAAGAGTTGCTTCCCTTGACACCCTCAGGTTCGGACGGAACGAGACCTGCCGCAAATGTGGCTCTCCGAAGCCTCGGCCTCTGATAATGCGTGCGTGAAGCATTGCAAAATAGTTCGCAAATTACATCCTCCTGATCACGCCGATCACGCCATATCCGAGAGATGCATTGAGATGCACTTCTAAGGCCGGTTTTGTCAAGTCTGCAGCTCAGCTGCGGGCTGCTATGGTCTGCTGGTGCTTGCGTGATTTTGGGTGTGATGTTCCTGAGGCAATAACCAGGCGATGAAGCCTGGTGATTGGCTTTGCCCTGCCTGTGGGGACTTGCAGTTTGCGAGGAATGAGGCTTGCAGGAAGTTGGAGACTTAGCTTCCCTTTTCAGGGGTCGCTGGTGGTGACAAGTGGTGGTCAGTGGTGGTCAGTGGGGGTTTTGGGGTCTTTGAATGTCAGGTGTGGAGCATCAAAGCCAGACGAAAATGCACGCTCCCGAAGCCCTGTTCGTCGATACTAGAGGCGAGGCACTCAGATCAATAGATCATCTTCGGGGGCATCGCTGATGTCGAATCTTGCAATGGCCATGGGCAGATTGCCATTGAAGTGCCGTGTAGATTTCAAAGATCCCCCCCCCCCCTGTAGAGCTGAGCAAATGCCAATGCAGTGTTCATGGAGTACCCAGAAGCTCCGGAGTGCCAGTGACGCCCCCCAGCCCACCGTGTGCTCGTGGCTAGCTTCAGGGGAAGCCTCACGAAGGGCTAGAGTCCTCAGCCTGTAGAAGCTCTCCAGGATGGCGAGCAAACGATTGTTGACCCTACCAAGTAGCCGGGAAAGCTACGAGGAAAATGCTCTGCATCTCTTGCACCTCTTGATTTTTGAAGCTGCGGCTTTTGGAAAGCAGCAGAGGCAAGAGGAGGACCTTTTTTGTGGCTTTGTTCTGCCGTAGTGTCACAGCTACATCCCGTTCCCCACAGTGTGTGTAGATCTCTGAAGCCAGTGGTTACTGCATCGGGCTTTCCGAGGAGACGGGCGACAACTCTGGGCCTTTACGGGGGCGGCAGGGGCGGCGATGAGATGGGTAGCCTTGGGTTTCGGGCTTAAGACGGAAAGCCCAAGCCAGGAACAATGAGGGTTTCCCAAGGATTCAGGGTTTGCTAGTTCTGTTTGGGCCCAGCTTTGGGCAGCTCCTTGGGATACTTGTGGCACCTTTCATGGGCGTATTTTGCAGAAAGGTGTTTTGGAGGGATATCTGTGGTGTGTCGTATTGCAGGGGCGGATGTGTCAAAGCTTTTTCCTAGTTAATTCGGAAGTCAGGTGATGGCTTTTGGGGCTTATGGTAGACTTCCGTGTCTGTGCATGTCTGTGCCTGCAGGCTCATGTGACGTTGCAGCATGCGTGCAGGGTGTGAGGGTCGTGATCACGTGCAGAAATCTGTGCTCCAGCATTGCAGACGATCAGCTCCAAATTGAACTTGACAAAGCTGCTAGTGAGACCGCGCGCTTGACAGATTGTTGTCTGCTGAGGACACGGCTGGCTTGGCCTACCTGTGCATGAAGGCTGCCTCTTTAGGAGAAGCAGAAAGAATGCGCGAAGCAAAGGACTCACATGTGTTTTGTAAGGCTCTCAGCTAATTACGAAGTCCATTTGCTTCCTGGTTGCTCGATGCCTCTATGCGCAAGCCGCCTTTCCGCTGTATGCGGGAGCTGGAGTAAGACGGAAACTCGAAGTAGCTGACTACACTCTACCAAGCTCCCGTGGCATCGTGGCGGATGCGTGCGTTGACTTTGAAGCAGAAGTCCTCGACCTTTACCAGGCTGAAACTAGTCGGCAAGTCGTAGCAATGGGCTTACCTGCATAGACGGACACATGAACTCGCAAGACTCAAGAGCTAGTCGCAAATCAGTCAGACCTGTTGAATAGCAGTAGTGGGTTCCAGTGGAAGCCTATCCGACACCGATGTTGGGAGACGGCTTGCGATGGCACGGTTAAAGCTGCATCGTGCTGGAACCGTGTCGACATTCAGCTTGATCTGGCCCTTGAGAGTTTGGACCATTGCCACTTCACTTCGCATGTTGCTTGATGCCTCGAGCGTCAACGATGTACATAACACGCCCTAGCCCGCCCTAGCCCTAGCCTGACTGCCTTCACGCTGGAGCGGAGACCCGCCACCCTAGCCTCCACCGTCAAGAAGTGAATATTCCGAGCTTACGAGCAAAGCTAAAAGGCTTCTACAAGGCCCAAAGGCCTCTAAACGGCCCAAAGAGACGGCTCTGCCCTTTGTGCCATGGCCAAGCTCTTCGAGGAGGTGGTCAGTGGAAATGTGGGGTCGGCACCTCTCCGTCTGCACTTGTGCCAATGCATGTCCCAAGTAGTTCACACTTGTGGACTCTGAAGTTCCCCCTTGCAAGATCCCCCGAGATCCCCCTTGAGGCCCGCGTCTACGGCGGACATCATCATCCACTTTGGCCCACCGAGCCGGGCCCTCTGCAACTGTGTGACCACATGTCAGTCAGCCGGCTCTGTTGAGCGTACTGTACTGACCTGTACGAAATGTTGTTTGTCAGACGAGCTCGCTTATGTAACTTGTGCTCCCATATGAAAGGTGTTTTGGACCACCCGCCGCAGCTAGCAACACCACCCGTTGCCGCGAGCTCGTAGTCGTAAATTGTGCGGTCTTCGCTTTGCTTCATGTGCTCATCAGCCGACAACCGCAGGCATGGACCTTGCTCTGGAACATGTCTCGCTTTCGTGCATCAGGGCTGCTGGCCCAAGCAAAAGCAGGCTGTATCTGTTGAAGGCAGTGCAGGTTCCGAATGCGAATCATTTTGGCACACCTTCTGCGCAGTATCTTCATATTCGTCACCACATGTCCTCACCTGATGAGGGCTGAGGTCAGACCCCGCGATCGCCTGGAGTCCAAGATCGTTGCTATGCTACTGACTGACACAGGGCTTGTTCGGAGGGAGCCGAAGCCTCACCTTTCGCCAAGCATTGTGAGGTGTGAGACGACCCAGGGACCTATCACGATTGAGGTAGATCCTGATCAGTCTCCTGAAGGAGCACGAAGGTTTCTGGATCTGGTTCGTGATGGTTTCTATTCAGACCAGGCCATCTTCAAAGCGGTGAGGGGCTTTGTGGCACAGTTCGGCATCAGCGATAACAACGAGATGAATGAAAAGTGGTCGCCAACCATCCCAGATGATGAGAGGAAGACTGCCTCCTTTCCCAAGGGCACCATCATCCTTACCGCAAGTCGACAGAACTCTCGGAGCACGCAGGTGTCTGTAGCGCTTGCAGATCTTACGGGCAGGCTAGGACAGAACCCGTGGGAGACAGCAATAGGTCACGTCGTGGAGAAGGACATGCCCGTGCTGGACAGAATCTTCACAGGCTATGCCGATGCTGTGGATGAGCAAGAGCTTCTGCGCCAAGGAAATTCCTACCTGCGAGAGTTCTATCCACGATTGGACTTCGTGAAAGCATGCAGTGTGCCGGGAGATCCAGTGAGTGAGCTATCCAAAATGCCTTATGTAAGAGATCACTGAGACCCACGAGACTGAGACCATAAAACGCCGCGAATGAGAAACATGGAGAAACGCTATCTCCTGTGCTAGTCGCCCTCCTTGCTTGCGAGCAAGATTCGGGACATTTCGGGGTTCAACAGACAGGCCGATGAAGCTTCAACCTTCTGAGCTGCATGAACAGCATAAGAAAGCACCAAAGGAGCAGCGGCTAGGAAACAGCACTCGCGGCAGTCGCGTGCGATGCAAAGTGCATCGAGGCCTCTCCTTCCAGCGGAGTCATGGGCTGCGGCACCTCGCCCGACCCTCGTTTTCTTTCAACATGTTGTAGGCACATTGTAACCACATTGCAACCATCGTATCAGGGTCCGAAGGCCACGGCACCTGATTCCAAGGCCCGGCGGAGCGGCCCAGCAAGCCAGTCCCAGGCCTGGCTGCGTGCGCCCATGGACAACAGCACATGGCAATGGCAGAGACAGAGTGCGCTCCCCCTCCATTAAGTGTTTCTAGGCCAGAGGTCCAAGCTTTTTGTCATAGACTTTGTTTATCCATGCGCGTTCCCGTGCGTGCTGTCCCTCTACAGTTTTCCGCCAGGCCTGGCTTGGCCATGCACTCCAGCAGCCCGATGTCACCGCACAGGACCGATGATAATTTGATTTGGCCATGCTGCGTACGCGCACATCGGTTTGATTGATGTTGATCGTATATTCTCTCGCTTGCCTTCGTTCTTGTTTACAGGTTCATCGAGGCCCTTTTGGATCATTATGGTGCGATATCCGGGCTTGTAATTTCGCACCCGAATTTCACGCCCCGCACTTTCGTCGGTTCCTGCATCTCGCGCCAGTCCCTTGGGTAGTTCCCACGCCCCAATTTCACGCCGGTCCCAGACTTTCGAGCAACATTGGTTCGCATGGTACAAGTACTGGCTTGTCTGGACCTCAAATGGATCCGGTCTCGTTCCAATGTGGCATTGGCTAAATTGCTCTGGATGCACGCGGACGGTTTCTGAAGCCGGTAGCCTGGCCTGCGCCCACGGTTAGCAGTTGAAATCACCTCCGTGGAAGGCAGCAGATGTTTTGGGGGGTCAAAGTGTTGTTTGATACATCTCAAGGTCATCCAAAGAGCGAGAACAGAATTATCACGACGCGCCTGTACCGAAACAGAGCCAGGCCGCGACGTGCCTGTACCGTAACAGAGCCAGACATGAAATTGCATCTGCCCATTCCGGGGGTGGGGGGGGGGGGAATCGGCGATATTCGGCGATCCCCTCCCCTCGACTGACGCGCGCGAATGCATCGCTGCGTCGGTTCCAAGTCTCAGGGAAGCAACTAGGTCAATGCATCGATCCCTTACTGGAGTCTGTTGCAAGTGCGCGTGCTTCGTTAACCGAAGGATCCCTCTGCAGCTGTTGCCACAAGTTGAACCTAGCTTTCGTGGCCCATGCTCTCTCCAGTAAGGTCGTGGTCTGAACCAAGTGTCTAGAACGTCTGAGATCTTCCCTGGACGCGATGAGCAGGACGACACGAAGCGGGTGGATGCATGGTACAGGCCGCGGCACCGACTTTGAAGCCAAACCTTGCCACACATGTTGTTGCGCCTGTTGAATCGGGTGGTCACGTCCTGAGGAAACGAGCAGATGCATGTAGTCATGGCCTGAGATGACCCTAGCCGCCCGAAGAGCGAGAAGCTTCGGAGTACCGCGTTGGGGGGGGATTTCAGATCCTTACCAGCTGAGGCTGGCCAGATGTCCTTGCGATGTCATAGTCTTCTGCTCCGCACGCAGCCAGTGCCGACACCTCACCTGTTTGCTATTGTTGCAATGCGGAATGGGGCCAAGAAGAGATGATAAGAGCTCGTCTCGAACTTGACAGCAATTGGCATTCAGGTTGCTGGATCGTCTTTTAGCACAGCAGGACTGCAGGCCAACGGTGGGCAGGGACGGGCCCAGTCTGCTGTTCCTCAGCATCTACAATGCTGTGTGGCCACGGTTTATCACAACATGGCGAGGTGGTGTGCGACCACTAAACCCATACTAAACCCGCTTATCGTATGACTTGCTGACATCCACTGAGCAAGCTCTCGTCCAACTCGAGCCTTGGCGTCCACGTACTTGCACCTTAGTCTTGAGTGTGAACCGGGCCTGATGTGAAGGCTTCCTCGTGCTAAACTCTCGTGCTACTTGATTTATGAACATACCGAGCCTCGAGTGCATCTAGGTATGCGCCGTTCGTTTCATGCAACATCCAGACCAGGGATGCCGACACACCTCGGAACAACTTTTTGAGGGCTTTCGGCTCGACCTGGACGTCACGTTGAAAGCACAAGCAAGCACTGGAGGGGCTTCGACCAGTGCCACCTAGACACGGTGCTGCAAGGACTTTGTCCAAGCAGACCTGATCGATGGCATCAGAAGCCAGTCGAAACGTTCACCGTTCTGACACGCACCCTCTCTTTCTCTCTCGTGTTGCGATGGGCTGCAAACACAAAGTTGATCATGAGGCCAATACAGGCTCGGCACCACGGAGTGCATGGAAGTTACAAGCCCAAGTACAAATAGCGGGGCGGTACTGCCAGCGCTATTTTCAAGCAATTGGCATGTGGAAGCTTTGCGACTGCAGACTCGGAGAAGCACGTGTGAGCAGTCGGAGCAGCTTTCGTGACTAGACGGTGCCACAGTAGGCGCAGCTGTCTTCCGTGCAGCTGAAACCTTCTTCGCGGGGACAACAAATCGAACAGCTGGTGTGCTTGCATCCTTCACGCTCTTAACCTCAACCTCACCCCACTTGGATCCGCCTGCCAGGTTTGGCCATGCTATGGCAGATGCCCAGGGCAGCGTGGCCACTACGAGCATCCAGCTCAGTGCGCTGCCCCGTCTGCAGCCTGGAGTTTGGAAAGCGGGAAAATGAGGTCCAACGGTTTCTGCACAGTTTGGGGGCTATCCATCGAGCACCGGCAGTTCAGTTAGCGCCGCAGGCTCAGAGATCGCACCACCTCACCAGCCCTGAACTACCAAAAGGGCCTTCCTCAACCACTGAAGAATATGAGTCGCATGAGTAGCGCTACGTCTTTGCTTGACGAGGCGGAACCAAGGGAGCCACCTCCTGCCTCCGCCGCTGCTGCGGCGGCGGCTGAGGCGGCGGCCGAGGCGGCCTGGCCGGGGGCCCAGAGCGAGAACGAGGGAGCTTTCTGAGGAGTGTTAATGTTGACCTGTTGACCTAGTAATAATAAACCCCACCCCCCCCCCCCCTTCAATCAAACCCCCCCAAATAGAGTGAGGCCCCTTTGAATAAGGATTCCTTTCCTTAGAGAGAATGAGAGAGGATCAGAGAGAATCACTCAGGATTCCTTTCCTTAGAGAGAATTAGAGAGGATCAGAGAGAATCAGAGAGGATCAGAAAGGATCCCAAAAAAAACAAGCCCCGACTGGCATACTTTATTTCCAGGGCTTTATTATTGCGGCCGGGACACCTGGCGTACTTTAATGTTAGGGGCTTTAATACTAGGTTAACATTAGGGTTGAGGCATGTTTAGGTGGAATCTTGGAACCAGCGCGAGTCAAGGCCAGCCAAGGACTTCGCCGCCCTTCCCGACCCGGTCCAAGAGTCCCCAGAGGCGGTCGTGGACGTGCAAGACCCGGTTCAGGATCAGGTCCAAGACCAGGCAGATCGGGGGATGGGGATGGGAATGCGGCATTCTTGTCCTGCTTGGTGATGTTAGTGTATGTTAATGTTGGGCTGAAGTGACTAAGTCAAAGGGCTTGCAGAAACTATCAAACAAGAAAGATACAACATTGAAACATGCATCGCTGTGTGGAAGTGCCATTGTCTTAATAAATCAGTTGGACATGAACTGCAAAACAGTTTGTTGCTATTCTTTGGCTTTGCTTGATACACAATCCACATTTCATATGTTCATATGATTTTCTACAGCCCTGGGGGCCTGGGGCTGTCTAGCCTTCCTGGGTTGAAGCCACGGCCCTTCCGGCCTGAAGTTGTTCGGGCCTTGAGGCCTGAAGTTTTCCTGTCTAAGGACCAGCAAAGGGCAAAATGGGCTTCAGATTGCAATCATGACAAAGTTCCACCCAAAAAGTCAGTCAATCCTATTACGAAATTTGATTGGGCTTCATCTCGCAAGGAAACCCAAAAAAGTTTCTAGAAGGAACTTGCCGGGCTTACGAAACTTCCTGGATTTTCCGGGCTCTGGCCCTAAGGTTCCTGAATCCCAAGCCCTTAAGGCCTGAAGCCCTTAGCTGAGCCTCAGACTGCGACTGCCCGAATCCCAAAGATTTCCCCCCAAAAAACTTGTGCTTCTAGCGGGCAACCCCAACAAACTGAGTTTGCAGAATGGTCCTGAGAAACGTGTGACTACAGCAGGTAGAAAAAAAGCGGGCGCAACATGACTGTGCTTGTGACCCAGGGCAGTGTGGACACCTCCTCTGCCCGTGGCGCTTCCGTGGACCGCTGTTCGGGCGCGCCTGCGCAGGCACGCGTGCTGCTATGCTCCAAACAATCTCAAGCCACTGGCCTTGTCAATTGTGGTGCAAGGTGGAGGCCGTCAACTCTCCGCGTACGGCACCTGCGGGTCCTGTGGCCGAGAAGCCTGTCGAGGCGCACCAGCGCAATCGTAGTCACAACAGTCGTGGAATAGGCTTCAAGTATCCTTGATTTGCCTTGCCTCTCGCGGAATCAGTCGACGAATGCAGCATCTTGCAACGTTCAGCTGCACACGTGTTCCCTGCAGCTCAGGTGACCGTTGATGATGAGCCCGAGGCAAGGTAGTGACATGCAAACCAGCTGCCATGTGTGCGACAGTTGCAACTACCTCGTTCTGGCTGGGGCGACGACGGAGCCATGCTGGCTGGATTGTTGGAATTGGTCAGGTTTTTCTCGAGATGATCAAGTTTGTGTATTTGAACACCTGCCACGTGGACCAGTCCAACGTCAAGGCCTGTTCCGAAACGCTGGCCGGGCTGCTGCGGTAGTGACGGGGGTTGATCTGGGCAGTGCCAGGCTTTGTTACACATCGCGGACAAGTACTGCATCGAGGACATCGTGAAGCATTGCCTGCAGTGGATGCAAGACCAGTTTACCGTGCAGTGCTCAATTCAGAGCTTTCCACAAGAGTTGTGCATGGCAGAAGGTTTGTTTTTTAACAGAACTGACTAGAGGCTGGCCTCTTCTACCACATGCTGACGGTGCAGATGTCGAACGAGCACTTTGGCAGACTACTGTCTCGACCTCGGCCCTGATCTTTACAGTCCTTTATGTCGGAGAGCAGGAGCAGGCATCTCCATTTGGCACGCGGTGAAGCACCTCGTGTGCGGAGGTGGAACAGTTTGCTGAAGGCGCTGAGAAGTAGACGCCGTGTGCTGAGACTACAAGATATTCACAGAGCGAATTTTTTCGGACCGTCACCATGTCAGGCCATTTCTCTTTGGTCACGGCAGGCGCAGCCAGACTTCTTAAAAGTGTGTGTTTTCCAGAGTTCTGACTGGTCTGCAGATGCCGAAGAGCACTTTGAAAAACTGCCCGTGTCAACCTCTTAGCTCTACATCCATGCATGGCGTGGGTGGCTGGTGCATAAAAATGGACAGACGTTCACAGGTCCTTCGTGGAAGCTCTTCTCAGCTCTGATGAGCTGCCGGTTGTCAGTGAGATCGAGGCCTGTCATGAACGACAAGTGCTCATGCACTTGATGTGCCAAGACGTGTTCTACAGGTCATCCACCTCATCGCCCGTTGGGCCAAAGGTGCCCTGGCACGGCAGGACAGGATCTTGCGACTTAAAGGGGGCGCTCCAGTTTCGGTTGGACCTTTGCTGTCCCAAGCCCTTTGCGTCCTTTCTGAGACCTTGAGAAAGTGATCTCTGAATGGGAGTTTATACCATCAGACCTGTGAACTGCAGGAGAGGAAGATAGGTTCTCATTACGATGAGCTGGAGAGAAATTCCCACGAGGCCCGGGGACCGAACAACGGGACAAACCTCCTAAATAGGTTTTCCTGTGTCCTCGTGGCAGGATGGCCACGACGGGCATGATCCAGAGGACAACGAGGGCCACGATGGTGGCTCTGACAAGAAGTTCAGAAGAGTTGCAGTGCATCTCTTTGTGCTTTGAAACGGTGAAATTTAGCAGCCTGGTTTGTGGTAGATTTGATCGTGACATGGTCACACCAAGTTTTGCCAGCAAAGCGGTTCACGGCGAAAATTGCAAACAGCACAGAATCAGCTTGGTTGCTGTAGACAATGATACTGAGGTTTCTCCGACATCGGCAGCGGGTGACTCTGACACAGATTGCTGCATGACCCACAAGCTACTGTAGCAAGCTGCATCCTGGATCAGCCAGACGAGCCAGGCAGATGGGCAGTGCCCCTGTGGGCAGCGATGCCGTGGTCCCCAGAGCATGCAGGAGGATAGCGAACGCCGCAAATGTTCCACCATGTTCCGCCGGGTTTTGCTTTCGCAGCAAGGCATAGCACGCAAGCCAGCCACTGCTCCCCCCTGCTGGTTCTTGCTCGTAGGGAAACGTGTGGAATAGAACCACAGCCAAGTCCTTGTTCCAGGGACATTCGGGGGATGCATACGGGTGCGTGAGTCGGTGGGGTGGTGATGTCGGGCAACGGATGGAAGTCTCGCGTGCTGCACCACCGAGCACCCACGTCTGGTGAGATCCCTAGCTGCCCTGATTCTGAGACAGAGAATGCTGCTGCCACAATGGGCACTGACAGCTCCTGCGGAACTGAGGGCAGGGCACTCAGCTTCTTCTGGGCGATGAAGTGCGAGTCTAGACATGAGAGCCTCAAGGCTGAAAGCAATCCTCGCAGGCACGAAGTAATTTGCACATTTGCTGATTGATAGCGAAACTAGGCACAGATGATGCTCAGCTGCGCTCGCAAAGTGAAATCCGAGCCTAACACTCAGAGGGGCTGCCCTTGGCGAGCTTGGGTGCTGTGTTTTCGGCTGTGCGTGGGAATGTCCTCTCTCTGTTTGTACTCCCAGTTTATTGCCGAGTGCCTTATGAGGCCCGGACGAGAGGCGACATGTTGCAGCCCAAGGTGTGTTGATTTGTGTCATCAAATGTTGTAGCATGGACGTCAAGGGCTTGGAGTGATTTGGGGCGTTTTGAACGGGAGCAAGATTGCACTTCGGTAGAATGCACCCAGAGCCTGTGCAAAGTAGATGCTGTATGCCTTCGAGCGTCCGCTCATAGAATCTGCGCAGGCGTGTTCAATGATCTTTCTTGTGTGCCGAGCATGATTTGCAAAGTCAGAGAGAGAGGGAGAGAATGGGAGAGAGAACCGTTGCTGGTGCCGGCTGCTGTGTCAGACACCTTGCATAAGGTTGCGCCTTATGCGAGCGGTGCGGAAGAGCAACATGCTTGTCAGACTAGCTGACATGGAGCCCATGTTTCAGATTCTGGGCAGGGGGCTGAATGGCACCTTCACTCAGACTGCTTGAAGAATCTCGATCCTTTCTTCAATGCTGATGACCTGAAGGTTTGAACCGTCTTTTCTGCAGCAAGCCGCAGCGGTCTCATTTGATCACGCCAGACAAGTCGACGACATGATGTCCACCTGCTGCGTTCCAAAGGCCTCGCGAGACCTCAGCACTGGATCCTGGCTTCGTGGCTTACCGTGGTGCCGAAGCCCCATGAGCACTAGCACATACGACAACTGCCCCGCCTCACTCAAGACCAAGATTGGCGAAGTGATCACAGCTCATACTTGCATGTAAGGCATGCTGGAGTTAATGTCGCTGAGGTGGCAGGCGTCAATACCCCCAGCGGGGCCTTCGGAGAGTTTCACCACTCCAACGTTGTTCCGCATGCCCCACGCTGAGACGGACAGCTTTGGGTGTCGCTCGTAGCGGCGGGCGATGTTCCATTCCTTGACAGGCTTGGAAAGGCATTAGTGTGTCTTTGGGCAGCCACGATTTCCTGCAGCAGCAGGACTGTTGAGTTTTGGCTACTTGGGCTGGTGTGTTCGCTCATGTTCGTTCTTCCCGTGTCAGGAAGGTTTCAAGCCAAATCAAGTGTACATGCCCCAGAGAGCTTCGCATACAGAAAGTCATGCCAGTCCTTTGTTTTGCGTGAGGCCTGAGAGAGGCACCACGGTGTTTCCTCGCCTTTGGGTGCGAATAACGTGCTCCTCGTGGCAAGGGACCAACAGGGACCAGTTGTGGCATTGTGGCATGCTGCGCCGTGCTTGTAACCATGGCCTGTAAGCCACTGTAAGCCTGCATGGCCTCGAGGTCACATCGGGAGAAGAGGACGTCAAAGAGCACGTCGGGACACAACCGCCACACCGTTGCTGGGCCACTAGGCAGGGTGGATTTTGCTAGGTTATGGATGCTATGGACGTTATGACGTGTGATGGAGAACATGGTGAAACGTCTGTGCCACGAAGCGCAGTTGGTGTCGAGGCGCTGAGATCCCTGGGCCGCCAAACTGGGAGTCTGTTCTGACCTGAGAATGTGCGATTGAAAGACACTTAAGTTGCTCAAGAAATACCGTGTCCCCTGTGGAGTTGAAGAGCCAATGCACGTTTAGAAACGTTTCGTCGAATAGCACAAATGATGCTAAAGTCAGCCAACCGTTTTGTATTGTTGAGGGGAACAAGCTTCTCTTCATTGTTTGTCTGCGGCCCAAATCTCCTAGTCTCCCTTAAACGTGAACCTCCACGAAGTTTCCCACAGTTCAAGATTCTCAAGCTGCTGGGAATGCAGGTCCCGACACACCTAATGGGAATCTCTCCAGTGAATGAGGCCGTGACGGATTTGAGCCATTCATGTGAGTAATTGCTATCATGTGAGCAAAGTCAGCACGGCCAGGAGCCGTGTAGCAAATTTCCACCAACGCTCAAGACGATGCAGTCGCAGGACGCTCTCAGGATTGAAGCGATGCACAGGGCAGAGTTTGATAAGTGTTTGATAGGTTTTTGAGTTTGGAGGTGCGCAGCTGCGGCAGTGTTTCAGCCCTGCAGGACGATTGGGACATTGGCCGCACAAAGACATTGCGGGCACCCAACAACATGCCAGAGCTCATGAACAACGAGAAGATTGAGCACAAGGCGCCAGCCCGAGTGACGGCGGCTAGCAAACGTCTGCCGAGTGGATGTACGCAGCACTCCTTCCCAGTGAGGTCGTTTGCGCGGTGATCAGTGGACACATGCGCCACGGCATTCGCATCGGTCAGCGGGAGTGCTCCTGACTGTACATTACTATTGGAAAGACATCCCAAGCGGCGAGCTGATTTTGACTGCTTCATCCCCCCTTCCCGCATAACAGGCGAAGTTCCATCTATGATGTGGAAGAGCTGTACGGGCAGTGTGGGGAAGTATGTCTTGGAGGCGAGGCTTGGAAGATTTGGGGGAGAACGTTCTGTGCACAGTGCACAGAAATCACGGAACAACGAAGTCTGAGGCTCTCCAACAGAGGTGGAGTTCGAGCTGCAGCTCAAAGTGCAGGCTCCGAGTGGATCCTGGCATGTTTGTCACTGCAAAGATGGCGATGAAGACGAGAGGGGAGGAGTGACGGAGGAGTGTCAGAGGAGCGACGGAAGAGTGGCAGAGGAGTGACAGAGGAGTGACAGAGGAGTGACAGAGGAGTGACAGAGGAGTGAGGGAGGAGTGACAGCTGAGTGGAGACGGCCAGGCCCCTGTGGCATCTGCCGCTGCAGTTTGGCGGTACTCCAGCCCGAGGGGGCCAATTCCGAGCCGCCGCTACCCTCAGACGTCTTCATAGTACTTTTTCTGTATGTCGCAATTTGTATCTGAGCATCTTGTGGCTTCTCGGCAGACGGTCCCGGCAGAAGGGAATCAAGGAACGAAGGAAATCTCGACGGGCCTTCGAAGTTGGGTGCAGAAGGATCCCAGAAGAAGGACGAAACCTCAAAAGGTGACTCCGCTGAATCGAGGCCCGAGCAGCCCGCCGAAGCGCTGCTGGAGGTGAGCTTCGATGCCTCTGCGGAGGAGGGCGGAACGGTTTAAAATGGGTCCGTTGATCCCTCAACTTATTGCAGGAGCATCTCCATTTCTACATCTCCTCCTCCTACTTCGACTCCAACAGCACCTACAATGTGGCATCGGCATGTGCACCCTGTTCTGCTCGTGCTTGGACACTGCTCTGTCCAGATCAGGTTGCTCTCAACTGGGTGCTCCGTCCAGGCGAGCTCTTGCTGGCATAGCGTGCGGTGATGGGATTGGGTTGCCATAGGAGGCCTTTTGTTGCTTGCCGATTGACTCCTCGCAAGGTCTGCGTCTCGAGGCTGACATGGACTCAGATAATGTGTCGCCGAACTAGGCATGAAAAGAAGGGACGCCGGAATGGGTACTTTCACTTTGCATTTTGGCTTTTGTGTCCGAATCTTCTTGACCGGTGAGATGTATCGTAAAAGCAGAACCGTGCCTGAAACCCTGTCAAAGCCGGCACCCATCCTATGAATTTCCGCTCGAGAATCCAAATCCTGTGTTCTCAAAAAGCCACATCGGAGATTAGACAATCATCAAAATATGAACTGCATATATATACATATATATATATATGGAAATTGCACCTTGACCTTGGGAGGACATTTGCATGCTGAAGATTCAAAATCCCCTGCAAAACGATTACCTAAAAGAAACGCCCCGTAGCAACCATAACAGCACATCAATCCAAAGCCGTGATTCAAGATGTGCTTGATTTATATCGAAACACGTTTTCAAGGTAACACGCTCTGATCAAATAGCTCGCGCCGGGTTATGGA